GATGTGACAGGTGGGTGTGGCACGAGGAGTCTAATTTTCTATTTGATAGCTCTGTAACCAAACAAAATTGAAGACTATAAAAATTATTGTTTTTATGAGCAATAAAGATTTTATTGAGAGTAATATATGTTTAATTATGTACTTTTTCAAGGGGTGGTGGATAAAATAAGGAAGATGACATGCTAAGAGAAAATGTGTCACGTGGGTCACACTAAGGGAAATTCAGGATTTTTTAAAATATTTCCTTATAGAATTAAGAACTTAAAACTTTTATACTATCAAAATATGGGTTATTAGCTAAAATTTTATCCTATTCTAATTGGTATAACTTAACCAAAAAGTAGTTTAACAAAATTTTAAATGTATGACACTAAAACTTTGTGCCATGCACAGTAAAGGATATCTGTGGTGATAGGGTTTAACAGAAATGTTTTACTTGTCAATCCCAAGAATCTCTTTTGTTTTTTAGCTTTTTCTCTTTCTTTGTTTTTCTGTTTTTCTTTCAATTACTGTCTCACAACTGGCTCTAGGTTAGGGATGCCTTTCAGTTGAGCCACCACCCCTCATTTTTACATTTGTTTTTAGCTCAACTTCTATTCATGTATGAGGATTGGGATAGGTAAACCTGATATTTGACTTATCCCAACTACTGTGCTTTAATTTCACAGATATATTTTATGAGGATACAAACTACCATTCCCACAATGTTTTTTATTTGTGGCACGTTTTGTTTTTGACCTACTTGCTTAGAATTTCATATATAAATAAAAAAATGAACAGACAGACAGTTATAATGGGTAAGGAATATGCTGAATAATGTATAGGGAGAAAACAAATAACTAAGGAAAACACTGCTCTTAAAGTAAGATGGATTATGAATACTAAAGAAACTACCATTCACATTGGAACATTTCTAAAAGTTCACAATAAAATATATAGAAGCCAAAAACAGAGTTACGAATACGCTGTTGCAATAAAATGGGTATAAATAAAACAATATATAGTATAAGGTACAGAATTTATGCATAACATAAATTGTATATATAAAGATAAAATCTACAAAAACTCCAATAAAATATCTGAATGGATGAAGTAAGCAAAAAACATTACAGTGTGATGTTCAAGAAATAATGAGCAAATGTTAAAACATCTTACAAAGGAATATCATTCAAAAACTTTTAAAACTAGTACCTACTGAGCTACAAATGTAAAAGAACTTACATTTCAAAAGAAAATTAAATGTGGTTAAGTAGCTTCAAACTTTCAATCAAACAGCAAACAAATAATGTTATTGTAGCAGCATACTCCTAAAGTGTTACTCTTTACTTATTTTATTCTTAACAAGTGATGCACCTGAATCAATTATACTAATTAAGATCATATGGAATTTACAAAATTAATTTGGATTATAAAAACAAGTTTTATGTATACCTGCTAAATTGTAATGTTACAGAACTGTTTTTATTATCATATCACATAACTTAAAATTACTTTTACGCTAAAATTGTGAAGTATTGTTAAAGGCAATGTATTCTACACTTTTAGTAAACTTTAGAACTATATACCTTGCAGTTGTTACCATTATGAAATATTTGTTATCTCCAGGAAATGTACTTGATAACTTGTGAAATTCTAGTCCAGTAATAGTGGTTTGTTGGGAATTTCCATTGCAGATTTCAAATAACTAAACAAAAAAAAATATATTTTTAAAAAATTTTTCTTCATACTATTTAAAGAATGGGATAGAAAAATAAGATATTACCTTACACAGGTCACACTTTTACAATTGTTATAGAAATCAATATCTCATTAAACCATTACAATAAAACTACATTATGAAACCAGTAATGCTATACAACTCTTCAAATTTGTATCTCATCAGATAAAACATCAGTTAAAAACCCTTAACCTTCTTTAGGTATGTACTTTGTGCTATATAGCAAAGAAATATCCATAATAAATCTATCATTTTGTGTTCAATAAATTCACTCAAATTTTTTTTTTTTCACAAAACAAATATTTGTTAAGAACTACCTTCACAATTTCAGTTAGATAAAACAGAAGAAAGTGAGAAAGTGCTGTTAAAAACTTCTCTTGCTGATTTTATGCTCAACTGGTAATTAGCCATAATTTTATTATGCTTCAGTGGATCGGGTATTTTAATTCACACACAATTTAGCTAGTACTTTCTACCAATGACTAAATAAACTTTCATTAGTATATATCTATCTATATATCTATATATATATATATATATATATATATATACACACACA